CACACTTAATTATGCAAATATCAGCACTTCAGCTCAAATTAAATTTACCATGGTCTTTTATAAATTGTTCCACATTGTCTTAATGCAATTTAAATAATATTGAGTCAAATCATACCATCATATTTTAAGCAGATCTTCCCCATTTAAATCAATTAGAAAGTCTTTCTGAAAACTGAGGTTATGAAATGGTCTGGTAATTTCTACAGTGTTCTTTATGCTCAAGGATTGCTTTGGCCCACATTCTACCACTCAGTCATTTTAGGTCTAATCCAAAGATCAATGAAACCAATGGAAACTTTCATTGACTTCAATGGGCTCTGGATCAGGCATTTTGGGCTCAATCCTGACAGTTACTGAATGCTCTGACACCAATCCAGAACCCATCCCAAACCACCCGCTCAAAGAAAAACCCCAAATGCTTAAATATATGATTAGTTGATAACTGAAATAAATGGGATTACTCTTAAAGCAATATGCTACTTAGAATGCATAAGGATCTGGCCCTTTCAATATTGTATATAAAGGTATTGCTCACTTGTGTTGCTAACACCCTTAAGATCACTAAAATAAATTCATTTACTTTTGATCACTAAGGTTTGCTTTCTTGTGGGATTTTGCTCAACTTCAGGAATGAAACCAGACTTATCTGGATATCAAGTTTTCTTTTCTGTTTGTAGTCATTCATTTTCTAATACCTGGGCCACTAGCACAATGGGTTTAAAGTTGTGTGGCCAATACTGCAGAGAAATATTTAAACAAAATAGATTTAAAAAAAAATGAATTAAAAAACATGAAGAAACAAAGTTTGTTCATACTGGATGGGTGGATTTATCCCTGGTACTTTCCCTGCTCCCAATGAATCAAAAAAGGAAAGCTTCTATTGACTCCAATGACAAGATCAACCCCCTATAGGTGTGTTGTGTGTGGGAAACTTCATGGCACTGGGGATATACAAGTACTAGTTTCTTATGGTAACTATCGCCCCAATACTGCAATGTGCTCCACATGGACAGAACCCCTATGACTAGTGGGATTCTATGAGGGTGCAGGCACCCAACTATACAGCACTCATTGCAGGACTGAGGTCTATAATCGCAGAGCAGTATAGTATGTGCTTATTTATGCACTTTAATTATTTCTTTTGTCTCTTTCAGAAAACTATCTTTTAGGTTTAAACTTTGGTACCAAAAAATTAAATAGAAAAAACTCCAGAACCCAGTCAGGCCCTCTCAAATACCCCCAAAACTGACAAAGTGAAACAATTCAAAATATCTATGGTGGCCCAGGCGCCAAGTACATAATGCTCTGTATAGCTCCCAGTGATCAGATGTCTGGGTAAAGCAGGATTTGTTTACCTTAAAATTTCTGCCACAGTTATTCAACAAAAGCATCTATTGTTAAATAGAACCAAGCATTCAGGACGTAAAAAGAGATGAGGACAAGTACCAATTTTTATGTAAAATAGCTGAACATATGACTGAACTATACCAATTTAGATAAGAAGAGTCTAAAATCCAGGGTCTAAAACAAGTGGTTCCGATTGATTTTTACTGAAATGCTTATTATACTGAATTTTTGTTCCCTAGACAAAGAAATATAATCCATTTGAAATGATAAATGGAGGTATAGGAGTCCCACAACTGTTCTTTTGAGCAGATCATTATATAGCAGAGGGCTACTTCTCCAACTCCATAAGGATCCAATTATAAAACTATATTAACTTATTGCCCCTCTAGAAGCTGATTAAAATGTGTCCAGATTATGATGATGTTCACAATCACACATTCAGTTCATGGAGAGAAGAGCCTAATTACTTCAGCTCAGTCATTTACCCCAAAACAAATGAAATGTGGATTTCTTAAAGCATGATGACTAACAGGATTTATAGAAACACACACATGCACACACCCCACCACTGAGAGATACAGATATGTCTCTGTTTGGCATAAGAAAATATATTGGATCTGTGAACTTTGGATTCTTGCTCTTCACCCTCTTCCCTTTCACAGGTGAGGTCACAACTTCCAACATCCCTTCACTACAGAGGATTTAAACCCAGGTCCTGATACTACAAAGCGAACCATGGCAGCAAGACCCCTACACCCATATAGCATGTCTACACTGCATTTTAAACCTGTGTCCATGGAACCCGGACTTGTGGAATTGGTGTTTCCAAGCTCCCGCTTGAGCGTCCACAATGCATTGTAAACCTGGGCTTCCAATTAGTGGAGTTGGGTCCTGCGTCTACTTTCTGACTCTGTTCTGTGGCTTGAGTTGTGTCTACAATGCAAAATGACAGGGCTTGGACTTGAGTCACAGCAGAACTCTGCCTCTGACTCAGCCCCCTAGCAGGTTGTGAAAACCCAGGCAGTGATTGCTTGCTGACCTGAGTCAGAGTGATGTGTGTGTGTGTGGAGGGTAGGGTGCTTGGCCTCAAACCTGAGTCAGAGCCTGTGCTTAGTGTGTGGTGTGAACATACTCAGAGAGTCTGGCTGACCTCAACGATGCACTCACGTGCAGAGCTGGCTCCAGGCACCAGCGGAGGAAGCACATGCCTGGGGTGGCACATGCTAAGGGGCGGCATTCCGTCCATTCTTGGGGTGGCACAGTCCAAGTGGTTGGTTTTTTTTGCTTCGGCAGTCCGAGCGGCTTTTTTGTTTGTTTGTTTGTTTGGGGCGGCAAAAACGGTAGAGCCCTGCTCACGTGGTTCTCTTTGCAGGACTGGGTTCCAAAACCGAAGGTATTTAACATGCCCACTCCAGTTTTATTAGAATGTAGATATTTTTAAATGTATTTATTTTTTAATTTTACATTTGTTACTCACAACAAGATGCTCCAGACTGTCTTATTACTATCAACTCCCCCATGTGTCCCATTACACAGCCAGGGCACGTCAATGGATATGACAGCCCAGACAACCTATTGTGTGTCTTAATGTGATCAGATGCTTAAAAAGAACCGTATCAACATTAGACATGTGGAATAATCTCAGTTTCATAGAGTTTAATGCCAGGATGGACCATTAGATCTTCTAGTCTGACCTCCTGTATAACACAGGCCATTAAACTTCACCCAGATACTCCTATATTAAGTCCAATGACTTTAGTTAGGCTACAGCATTTCAGTCTTTAGGAGCAATAGGCAGACAACTGGAGAGACCAAGGTGCCACCAATGCCAGAGATCCCTGCAATGGCAGGGATTTGATTAAGTGAGATATGCCCAGATGATCTCAGCAAGTCAATTGCACCCTATACTGGAGAGGAAGGCAATTGTCCCCACCCACAGTCCCTGAAAAATCTGACCTGGAAGAAAATTCCCTCTTGACTCCAAATATTGAGATCAGTATGACCCTCAACACGTGAGCAAGACACACCAGCCAGCCATCTAGAAAGAGGATTCTCTGTATCACCTCAGACCACTGGCCCAGTCTGAACAATGTCCCATCTCCAATTGTGGATAATCTCAAATGCTTTAGAAGAAGGTGCAACCTCCCATCTCCCACCACTAGAATACATCTAGCCAATTGTGTATGAGAGGAAAAATTCCTTCCTGACACCTACAGGCAACTGCTGAAACCCTGAAGCTTGAAATTTGATTATTGACATTATCTGAAAGCAGAGCTGCAAGTTCTGAGCACTTTGAGGGCAATGCAGGCAATCTTGTTCGCTCTACAGCCCACAAAAGAAGGGGACGAACAGGGGATCAACTCATGGATTCCAAGGCTAGAGGGAACCACTATGACCATCCAGCTTGACACACACACCCCTCCGCACATACACAAGCTATTGAATTTCTCCTATAAACTGGATTAAAGCATCTCTTTTTATTTAGAAGACATCTAATTTTGTGCTTAAGACTCCAAGTGATGGTGAGGCTGTCACCTCCCTGGGAAGCAGTGTCAATATTTAATTATGCCCACAACTAAAAATTTTATTTATCTAGCTTCAAATTCCAGCCATTGCATCTTGTTATGTCTTCATCAGCACAGTTGAAAAGCCACAAACTATCAGATACCTTTTCCATGTGCCTTTTCCAGATATCTATACACAGTGATCAAGTCACCTGTCAACTTTCTTGCTGATAAGCTATATAAGTTGAGCTCCTCAAGCCTCATGTTATAGGGCTTGCTTTTCAGTCTTGATCATCTTTGGGGCCCTCCTTTGAACTCTCTCATTCTTCGTGAAGTGTGAACACCAGACTGTACACAGCAGTCTAACAGTGATCTTACCAATACTGTATACAGAGGCAAGATCACGTCCCTACTTCTACTTGATATTCCCCTTTTTTATATTTCTATTTCTAACTTTTTGCCAGAACAGTACAATGAGAGATTAAGTTAAAGTGATTTTCTAAAATGAATCTTAAATCCTTCTCTGAGTCCCTACTTCCCAACACAGGGTTTCCCATTTTGCATTCTTGGTTCCCAACTTTTCCTTGCATTTGGCTGTATTAAAATGCATAAAATGTATAAAATGCTCTGCTTTGACACACTATTCTTTTTCTAATGGTAACTTGATTTCATTCTGTGCTAGACTCTAAACTCTACTGTATGAAACTGTATCTAGTAATTGAGGTGTGTAAATTATGTAAATAGATTTAAATACATGTTTTGAAATGCTCTGCTCCTTTTTAACTATAATAAAAGCAAGCTCTCAGAGAGCAAAATAGTATACATTAAGCAGGATTTTTTTAATAGACTATAGCACATGCAGTTGACCTCACAATGGGACAAATTCAGCTTTGATTAATTCAGGTGAAACTATTGATATCATTGGAATCACACCCACTTACACTAGGTGCAAGTGCACCATATATGTTAAAAGTAAGTGTAGCAAGGAGGCATGGCCTCCCTCGGAGAGTGACAGGGAGGGACCATAACACTCCCCCTAGTGGGCCGAGCCAGGAGACCCACGTCTACCCCACTGGAAGTGGAAAGGTGGGACAGGAAGGGGAAGTACAAAAGGTGGGCCCTGCAGCTCAGTTGGGGTTGAGTCACCACAGGAGATGGATGCATCCTTCCTGCTGCTGGAGCCCACAGAGGAGCTTCCAGGGCACTGGCTGGATCTCCCTGGGCTGCCAGCTGACTGAGATGCTGAGGAGCTGTTGGGGCTGCCACCTGCGGACTGGCCAGAACTCCCCAAGACAACAGACACAGGTACACCTGAGGGGGAGAATAGGAAGCAGCCCAGGGAAACCAGGAAACAGTCTGGTTGGGAGCTGGCCTGATACAAGGTCAGCATGTTGCGGGCGGATCCCTGCTGACCAGTGGTGGGCCACTCTGCCACTGTTAGGGCCATGGGCTGCGACGCAGTGGAGTTGGGTGTGCCCGAATCTCTCCTGGGATGGCAGTACTTCCCCTCCTTAGGCCAGGAAGCCAGTGCTCCTCACGCAGCCCTACCAGAGCCTCATAGGCTCCCCTTAGTGCTCAACTCTACCTAGACTCTCTTGGTGCTCACCCTTACCTGAGCCTCTAGACTTTATGGTCCTCACCCCTACTGGGACTCAGACTGCTTAGCCGCTCTGCCCTGATTTCAGGCCAGAGCCTACTCATTGTTTTGCTGCCCCACACTGACTGGGCCTAGGGCTCATAGACTGCCATACTGTTCTGCCCGGCCGGAGGACCGGAGCACTAGATGAAGCTAATTCCCCAATTTGAGCTCACCTTTACAGGTTTACAACAGCGAGGGGGCATGGCATCCCTCAGAGACTGACAAGGAGGCATGGCCATGCAGCCTACAGTAAGCAATATTTTTTTCCAAAGGACTTTCTTCGGTGATTATCTCCATCCAGACTTCATTTCATCAGGGTATTTCATTCATTCTCATACCCATTTCTTGGAAGCTTCTGTTTCTCCATCCTGACCATATGTTGTCTTCAATTCCCTGTTTGATCCCACTGACAACACCCTCTGCTTCATCATTCCCTCAATAGCTTCATCCCCTACCTGGTCCCTCCCCTGGATATTCATGATCTTCTGAAGGTATTTCTGTTCACAGCTCTCCAAACTTCCTTTGGCTGTCTTTGAGTTTGCTCACTTCTGCAATCTACATAGAATTTTTGGGATGATATACAGACATGAATCCCTTATCCTGATTCTGGTTCCAAGTAAGATTTCATTGCCCTAGTACAGGCTTCTCGGGCTAGCATAGTATATATACATCTTCTCTCAGAACCACTATCTCAGACAGATGAAGTTTCCAGCCTGATTTTTCCATAACATTAACATATTATTAGTAGATATTGCAGAACAGTGTTTTGAGGATGGTATTAAAAATAGTTTTTATATCTTACAGTATAACTATCCAAGACAACATTAGCACTACTGTAAATCTGTAGCCATAGTCCTCCCAATTTTCTCCTCTCTCCACACCCCAAAACAGCTTAGGTCTCCTAGGTCCCAGTCCACTACCTATTAGACCATGCTGCCTCATATCCTTCTTTCCTGTTTTACTCCCTACTATAAGTGACCTACATGCTACCTCATGGACAGACCTGCTCTGAGATGCCACGTTCTGAATGAAAATCTATCAGCATAAGGAAATGAGTCTTTCCCTATTCCTCCAACTATGAATAAAATGATTGTATGCATGTTCCTGTGAAATAAGTGCTTTAGACTTTATGGTATTCTGTCCCTTTGGAAAGCAACTCTTACTGGTATTGAAAATCAGCCTAATATAGAAGGACCTGTATTCTTGAACTAAGATAGCCTCACAAATTGAAAAACAATGCAATTAAAAAAAATCACAGATCATTGTTTTGCATACTATACTAGTAGAGCACATTCTAGTTAATCAGGTCACAGATAATCAGGAAATCCACTTAATGAGGACAGTTCCCAATGAAACAATGATTCCTAATAATATTTAGCAAAAAGGACTGACACATAATGGGGAAGGTAATGACAGTTTTTTGGCACATGCAATCTGTGGTATTGCAGGGCTGTGCTTTTAAGGGCTGTGCTTTGTTACAAGAGAGTCTGGGCAGGGCACTCTGAAGCTTCTATTATTTTTATACACAGCCAGCTGGAACCGCACTCAGAATAACACAGAGCCCCTGAAAGCACCTTAAGCACTACACCATATGGTACCAGGAGTAAAACAAACTAAGAAAATACCCCAAGTGGAATAATGGAGCAATTAAAAGCCCCACCAGATTTGAAACGCTCTGGAAATGTGGAAGACAAGTGGAGAAGGTTTAAATACTGCTGTTCTCTGTATCTGGAAGCAATGGCTGCCAGGAAAAAAGGAAAACAGTCAGACGGCAGCCTTATAAATTCTGACAATAGCTGGTTCTGAAGCACTTGAGGTGTTTAATAGTTTCCAATTAACTTAGGCAAAGGAGGCTAACTATGAAACTACATTAAAAATATTTGAAAACTTCACTAAACTTAAAAATGAAATGAGAGAAGTTTTTAAACAGTACCAAAAAAAAAAAAAAAAAAAAAAAAAGAAAAACTATAGAAGAATTTTTGACTGACTTAAGGCTGAAGAGACCATCTTGGGGTGTTAGAGTCCCTGATAAGAAATCAAATCATGATTGGAATCAGAGTCAAACAACTCAGACTACTGGAAGACCCTGCATTAACCCTTGACATGTCACCCAGCACAGAATGAAGTTTAAGAAGGGTCAACAGTGCTCTCACTCTGAGACTTGATAGAGAACCCAAAAACACTATAAGGAAAGAGACATGAAAGATGCACAGCAGTCAGAACTGTAGTCCAGGAAAAAGAGCACATGGAGCTGTACACCATGGCAAACACAAGCCAAGACTATGCCTGGAAGATGGGAAAAAATTTCAAAACTGAAATGGATTACTTCACTTTGCAAGAGTTGGCAAGTGCCAAGAGAGTGCAAAACATTGATAAACAGGATGATGATGATCCACTGGCCCAGAGGAATTCTTCATAGGAACAATAGACAATGTTGCAGCACAAGATATATGGTCAATCACCCTGAAAACAAATGGGACATTTATTGATTTTGGACACTGTTGATACAGTGATAGTAGCACTGAAAGAAAAGCCAGAAGCAGAAGAAGGTAAACAGGTAAGGGCTTATAGAGGTGAGCTTCTAATGGAGTATGGGAAATAAACATATGGGTAAATAAATTGGGGAAAGATACAATTTGTAATAATACTAGGAAAACAACATTAATGACTTAAAAATGTGTCAAGCCCTTGGTCTCATCAAGAGTGTGAACTAATTGGAGGGGGTAGGATCCAAAAAAACTGAGGAAGAGTTTGAGGATGTCTTTCAAAAGGTAGGAAAGCTCTCCACACAATACAGAATAGAGCTGAAACAGCCTAACCATCCCACAATTCATGCCCAGAGGAAAACTCACCTCACCCTAAGGAAGAAGCGAAAAGAGTAGCTGGAGAGGGTTGTTGCTCTGGGAATCATTTAGTAAGTAGAAGAACTAACAACGTGGGTACACTTGCTGGTCATTTTAGAAAAAAAGGCTAAACCCTATATATAGACCCCAAATAAATGTTAAAGTGAACACTTTCCACTACCAGTCAGAAGAAGAAATTTAGGGGAAGAGGGGAGGAAGTATCTGGCTTATACCAAATGCTTTTCTAGGCTTGATTCATCAGCAGGTTTCTTGCAGGTGCCTTTAGAAAAAACAGAGCCCACGTTTGCGCATGTTCAACACCCCCTTTGGGAGACACGATTTCTGCAGATTGCTGCTTGGGTTGTGTTTGATACCCACAGTGTTTCAGAGGAAACTACAACAATTTTTGACTGAATAGAGATTACAAAGGTTTACACAGATTTACTCTGGGGGGAGGAAACAGAAGTCCATGACCAGAGGGTTCCCCGAGCAGTTCTGGAAAGAGCCATATCGGCTGGCTAAAGCTGAACAAAAATGTAAGCTCTACGTAACAGGAATACCTTACCTGGGCAGAAATTAACATTTCGGCATGCACAGGTAGACCACAGTATGGTTGAGGTCATCACTAAGGTTCCTGCTCCAACAAACAAGTGATTCCTTGGAACAGTGAACTATGTAGGGAAATTTGTGCCAAACCTAGCCACCCAATCCAGCAAACAGAGCTCTACTGTATAAAGATATCCAATTATAGACATTGTATGCAAATCGTAAGATTTAGAGAAACTGAAGGAATTAAAGATGCCCCAGTCCTGAGGTACTATGACTAAATGCAAAATTAAGCTGTCCATGGATGCCTCTGTGGCACTGGCAGACTAGATGCCAGCTCATGCCAAGGCCCCAGACCTCACTGAGCACTGACAAATGCATAGCTGGAAACTAGTCTGGCTCACCTTATGTTAGTATTGTTAAGATAGATATTAGATTTGTAAGAATGTGTTTGGTGTTTAGACGTTATGAATAGCTTGTAGGATGCTGCATGTATTATGCTCGCTTATCTGTACCCCATGTTATAAAGCCATAGCAAATGTTTGCATTGTGAACCTTGGTAACTATGTAAACACATCAAAGAGGAAAGAAGTCTTCTCAAATGCAAATGCTAGCTTCTGACTGAAGATGTTAGGTCCTGTGGAACAATAAGGCCTTTGAAACCAAATGAGCTATTGAGAGACATCAAAAGAACAAAGGCTTTTTAAATTGCACCCCTAACCTCCTCCAGGAAGAGGAGACCAGCTCATGAACTCATCCCATCAGCTTAGGCTCTGGAGAGGAGGGGATAAAAATCTCTGACAAATAGAAACTTGGTTCTTTTTGCTGCCTGGACTCTAAACGAGCAAGAATCACTAAGCATAAGCAAAAGATCCCAGCTGTTTTGCCTGAGTTAGCCCTAAAGGACATATGGACTTTGCTTATTATAAAAGTTTCTATTATCTTTTGGCATCTAAGACTAACTCATTTGTGTGTGTGTTGGCCTGCTCTAACATTGTAAATAACTGTCTTATTTCCTTTTTTTTAGTTAAAAAATCTTTAGTTAGCATATTACAAACAAAACTGAGTGTCTATGGGCTCAAACAGAGGAGTTGGCTGTGGCCTTAGTCCATGGGTGTAAATAGTTTCATGTCTTTATTTA